CTAAAAACAAACATGTTGTTACACTAACCATAACAATCTGAAAGCATAGTCTAATCTCACATTCTTCCACTGTCTTCGAACAAGAACACCATTTTACACAAGATCTAAGTAAAATCGGAGAACCAATTTAACAAAATTCTGAAGGAAGCAAATTCAGGTTAAAATCTGAAAAACTTCGTGATAAACCCTCACACCTATGCCACCAGTCTTAGCCCTGCAGAAGAACATTTAGGAAAGTGTTAAATGCTACCAAGATTTTAAAATAAACATTAAGTCACTCACCGAAGTTTCAAAGGTTATGGCAACTAAAGGCAAAGAAGAAAAAATTCTGCTCATAGCCGCTAAAGCCAAGTTCAAGTTAGGCAGTTCAGTCTCTTGAACAAATTTAGTTCACACACAAGCCAACTTCTAATGGTCAGAGAAATACAATTACAATCATACAGAAAAGATAGTAGTACTCTACCAAAGAAACTAAGGAAGGATAAAAGAAAACTATATTTCTGTCAATGTATAAAAATGCTAAAGAGGCTTAATGCTAGGCCAACAAGATGGTAAGTTTATCTTTCAAGAGACATATCTTTTAAGTAACATTATATACAGTTCAGTGTCCACATCAACTCTTTAGCAATGTTTACCCTTTTTAAAAATAGTAATTATCAGTGGGCATGGTAACAATCACCTGTAATCCTAGCACTCAGGAGGCTGATGCAGGATTGCCCTAAATTCAAGGTGAGTTCAGGGCCAGCCTGGAACTGCATGATGAGACCCTAATTTTTAAAAAAAGTACTTTCCATACAGTAAACATACACACATATATGTTTTACAAAAAACTATCGAACCATTTTCCAGAATGGTGGTGATACCTTACATTCCCACCAGCAGCATGCAAGGTTCCAGGGGCTCAGCATTCTTGCTAGTACTGTACTTGGTACTGTCCAGTGTGTTTTATTTTACCTATTCTAATACACATGCATTATTTCTTCATCATGAGTTTAACTTTTCACCATTTGGGTATCTTTTTAAATAACAGTATACACTGCCTCAGTCCCTTAAACAGGTAATACTGAGGATAAAGTTTCCTGACTCAAAAATCTTATAAAATCGGGGGCCTGCCCCTTAGCTCAGTTCTTTAAGTGGCTGCTTCAACAAAGCAGTCAGGTTCAGGTAGCTGTGGTTCAATCCCCACAACTCAAGTCAGCCAAATGTGCCCTGAAGGCATTCAGAGCAAAAAAAAAAAAATTTTATAAAATAAAAAATCTGCTACCCTCAGGGACTACTGAAGTGTAGGGCTGTTTTTCTCTTTCTAAAATAGCCCCAGAATTATGTCTGCTTTTTACAGCTTTTTAAATCTTCTCCCTTGTCACTTCTTGCTATTAATGGTGCTCCTGCCTCTGGCAGACTCGCCTCTTCATCCTCTTCTCAAGCTGGATTGAGAAAATAGATAACCAAGTTTGTTACAATTACATCTAAAAAGGAAAGGCCAGTGAGTGAGAGAGCTTAATGGGTTCTTCAGTGAGGAAGGAGAGAGCTATTTTTTCTTATGGTTGTACCTAAACTTCTTGACAGCTGGTTTGGTTGCTGAGAAATTTGTAATAACTTGAGTTCCTAGGTGAGGTGGCCAGGTAAGGGACCACCAGAGAGGAGTCAATGCAATATTAATTTGTTCAACTGACATCACGCCGTAATTCTACACCAGAAATTAAAAGCTTATCTAAAGCTATAGACAAAACTAGCTTGTATCTATAGACCTAAGTGGAATACATTATCTAAAACGTGATTTGAATCTAGATTCCAAAAATACATTGGTCAAAATTCTGAGCACCTGCTAGGTATGTGAGATACTCAAAAGAATGTAAAGGAGATTTTACAATTAAATAACCCAACAGTTTTTTCAAAACATATAACCATCATACAGATAAATTGATTCTAACCCAAAGTAATATATCTACAGTATTCCCCGGAAAGTCACTTAAAACAGCAAACAAGTAAAGCTCACCTTCATCTCATAATAATTAAAGTAGTACATTATAATTCTCCATCTTTGAACAAGATAAAATTGTGATCAAACCCGAGACATGGCATCCCTTTCCTTCCCTGAAAGCCTCAGGCTGAAAACGTGAGCGGCACAACTGCCTCTCAGACGAACTTCCCTGAGGAAAAAGCACACGAGTAGCTGCCAGGCTCCCGGGCCAATCACCACTCCTCCAGCAGCCTCTACACACAGACTTAAAACCATCTCACCAATTGCAACAGGATCCTGGGTGGGACTTCCGCTATCATTTTAGTCTTAACTACCACCATCTCATCATAGGCAGTGGGGGCAATCAGGAAGAGGGAGAGTTTCACAAACTTTGAACTCAAGCAGTTTCAGGAGGAATAAAAGAACAAGCAGGAAGACAGAGTAAACATGTATTAAAAAAAAAAAAAAGTTCCCCCTAAAAACACTGTTTTAAGGAAAATACAAGCAATCAAAATTTGTGTTTCTCTTCCAGTCATGCCTGGGCCCTGAAGTTCTGCACGCAGTTTCGAAAGAGGAGCCCCCTGCCAAAGAGAGCACGGGCTGACTCGGTAGAACTCTCATTACCCACCCACCCGGGCACTGCAGAAGGTCACTGAACACTTGCTGTGCAGCAAAAAATAGACCCTGCAAGTTTACGTGTTGCTTGGCCCCCAAATTTTCAACTCCTAATTTTGAACTATTTCTCTGGAAGAATACAGAGAACTTGAGTTCTTTAAACACAGACTCAACAAAATCGCCTCCTGTCGACTTTATAAGTCGTTGAAATCTATCACACACAAAAAAGACAATTTCTCAGAAGTCTCATCCTTTAAAGCAGGTGTTGCGATCTAAATTCGAGCAGAATGCAAAGACCCCTATACAAACTTCACCTCCCACATCTATGGAGGCAGGTCTACTTTCAGTTGCGACTCTCCAAGGCCCCGGCGATTTCCCTACTATTTTATTCTACCGGTCTCCAAGACAAACCTGTTGCTGAGAAAGAACGGACTAGTTCAAAAAATGAGCATACTGCAAAGGTGTAGGCAAGGAGGTAACTCGCCCACCTCCAAAAGGAGAGGAAACAGAAAAGCTACTGGGGATGGTGGCACTGTCAATCCGATTTGTGGTGTGGGGCGCTCACCAACCCTGGGTGTCCGCACATGTCTGTGAGGCCTAAGCAGGCCAGCTAGGGGCGGACTTGAACACCGCGCGGCCTGAACCGCCAGACATCCATCTTGCGCCGTCGGGCCAGCTCCAGGCCCGCACTCCGGGGCCCCCGCGTCCCACAGCCTGGCGACAAGCTGCGCCTCGGCAGAGGGGCTTCCGGGAGCGGGCGCCCTGGTCTCCGGCCGGAGCAGAGACAGAACCACTCACCTCGGGCCCCGACGCCCAGCCCAGCCCTGACCCTAGCGCGAGGAACCCCAGGCTCAGCCCTGACCTGGACGGGAGGGACGGCAGGCCCGGCCTCGACTCCCGCCCGAGGGGCCCTGGGCCCAGCCCTGAGCCCTAGCGAAGGGAGCCCGGCCTCCCGAGGTGCTGCCCTGACACCCGACACGAGGCTCCCCGGCACGAGGCACCCCGGCACGACGCACGCGAGCCCTGGCGAGGGCACCCCGGCCTCCCTGGACCATGGCCCACCCGGGTCGCCCCCGGCCGCACCTTGACGTGGAAGCGGATGAGCGCCAGGCGGATGCAGTGGGCCATGCAGACCGGCGGCAGGAACCAGACCTTGGGCGGCGGCGTGCCCTTGTTCTGGACATGGCTGACGATCTGCTGCGCCGTCTGGCGCTCGTTGCCCTGCCGCTTGACCCACTCGTGCAGCCGGGCCTTCTCGAGCGCGCCGTTGAAGAAGACGAAGAGCTCGATGTTGCCGCCGAAGCAGGCCTTGGCGAGGGCCGCCAGGTAGCCGAGCATGTGGTTCCACTGGCCGCCGCTGACCCAGTCGGTGTAGAAGCCGCCGTAGAGCCGGTGCAGGCAGTTGTCGGCGTCCACCAGCAGGCGCAGCGGGGTCTGCGGGGGCCGCTGCCGCCCGCCGCCCACCAGGCTGCCCCGGGCCAGCTTCTGCAGCTCCACCGGCACCACGGCGCTCGGGCAGTGCTTCTCGATGTAGTCCTGGAAGCCCTGCACGCCCATGGCGGCGGCGGCGGCGGGGCGGGCGCGCGCGGGCG